CCGCGCGCTCGCGGCGCTCCCGCTCGTTCGCTAGGTCGTCGAGGCGCTTCGCGAGGCCGCGCTGGATGGCGTCCTCCCACTCGTTGACGTCGAGCTCGCCGTCGTTCGACGTGTCGAGCACCTGGAGCGCCTTCTCGAGCCGCGCGGGGAACAAAAGGAACTGGAGATTCTCTTCGCCGCAGGTTTTGAGAAATTTGACGACGTCTTTGTCTTCGGCGATGGCTTTCACGATCTCAACCTTCGTCAGCGTGCCGCTGTTGTCCTTGTCGATCATTTCGAAGCATTTGCGCGCGGCGCTGACGAACTCACTCGTGAATTCTTCAATCTCCTTGCGGGCCGCCTTGGCCTGAGCCTCGCGCTTCGCGGCCCGCGCCTCGAGCTTGTTCGCCAGCGCCGACTCGATAGCCTCCTCCCACTCGGGGCCGCTGATCTCGCCGTCGCGGTCCGTGTCCAACACGTTGAGCGCGGCTTCGAGGCGCGCGGGCACCAACAGGTATTGCAGATTTTGGTTGCCGCAGTTGACGAGAAATTTGATGACCTTCTGGTCCGTCTTCACGGCCTTCACCACCTCCGCCTTGTCCAGCGACCCGCTCTGGTCGACGTCGATCATGTCGAACACTTGGCGGGCCGCGGATAAGAACTCGACGGAGAACGCTTCGTCCTCCGCCTGGGCCGCGCGCTCGCGGCGCTCCCGCTCGTTCGCTAGGTCGTCGAGGCGCTTCGCGAGGCCGCGCTGGATGGCGTCCTCCCACTCGTTGACGTCGAGCTCGCCGTCGTTCGACGTGTCGAGCACCTGGAGCGCCTTCTCGAGCCGCGCGGGGAACAAAAGGAACTGGAGATTCTCTTCGCCGCAGGTTTTGAGAAATTTGACGACGTCTTTGTCTTCGGCGATGGCTTTCACGATCTCAACCTTCGTCAGCGTGCCGCTGTTGTCCTTGTCGATCATTTCGAAGCATTTGCGCGCGGCGCTGACGAACTCACTCGTGAATTCTTCAATCTCCTTGCGGGCCGCCTTGGCCTGGGCCTCGCGCTTCGCGGCCCGCGCCTCGAGCTTGTTCGCCAGCGCCGACTCGATAGCCTCCTCCCACTCGGGGCCGCTGATCTCGCCGTCGCGGTCCGTGTCCAACACGTTGAGCGCGGCTTCCAGGCGCGCGGGCACCAACAGGTATTGCAGATTTTGGTTGCCGCAGTTGACGAGAAATTTGATGACCTTCTGGTCCGTCTTGACGGCCTTCACCACCTCTGCCTTGTCCAACGAGCCGCTGCCGTCGACGTCGATCATGTCGAACACTTGGCGGGCCGCGGACAGAAATTCCGAGCTGAAAGCCTCGTCCTCGGCCTGCGCCGCGCGCTCGCGGCGCTCGCGTTCGTTCGCTAGATCGTCGAGGCGCTTCGCGAGGCCGCGCTGGATGGCGTCCTCCCACTCGTTGGCGTCGAGCTCGCCGTCGTTCGACGTGTCCAACACCTCGAGCGCCTTCTCCAGCCGCGCGGGCCGCAATAAGAACTGAAGATTCTCCTCGCCGCAGTTTTTCAGGAAGTCGACGACCGCCTTGTCTTCGGCGATGGCTTTAACGATCTCGGCTTTGGTCAGCGTGCCCGAGCTATCCTTGTCGATCATCTCGAAGCACTTGCGCGCGGCGCTGACAAACTCGTTGGTGAATTCTTCGATCTCCTTGCGAGCCGCCTTGGACTGCTCCTCGCGCTTGGCCGCACGCGCCTCGAGCTTGTTCGCCAAAGCGGTCTCGATGGCGCCCTCCCACTCCGTGCCGCTGATCTCGCCGTCGCGGTCCGTGTCTAGCACGGCGAGCGCGTGCTCGAGGCGCGCCGGCACGAGCAAATACTGCAGGTTGGGGTTGCCGCAGTTGACCAAGAACTTGATGACTTTCTGGTCGCCCTTCACAGCCTTCACCACCTCCGCCTTGTCCAACGAGCCGCTGCCGTCGACGTCGATCATGTCAAACACCTGGCGCGCCATGGACAGAAACTCCGTCGAGAAAGCCTCGTCTTCCGCGGCTGCCGCGCGGTCGCGGCGCTCGCGCTCGACGGCCAGCTGCTCGAGGCGTTTCGCGAGGCCGCGGTGCACGGCCTCCTCCCACTCGTCGACGTCAACCTCGCCGTCCTTGGACGTGTCCAGCACCTCCAGCGCTTTCTCGAGGCGCGCGGGCACGAGCAGGAACTGCAGATTCTCCTCGCCGCACGTGCGCAGAAACTTGACGACCTCGGGATCCTCCGCGACGGCCTTGACGATTTCCGTCTTCGTCAGCGTGCCGCTGTTGTCCTTGTCGATCATCTGGAAGCACTTGCGCGCCGCGTTCACGAACTCGTTGGTGAATTCTTCGATCTCCTTGCGCGCGGCCTTGGCCTGCTCCACGCGCTTCTGGGCCCGCGCCTCGAGCTTGTTCGCGAGCGCGGTCTCGATCGCGCCCTCCCACTCGGGCGCGTTGATCTCGCCGTCGCGGTCCGTGTCCAGCACCTGGAGCGCGTGCTCGAGGCGCTCGGGGACGAGCAGGTACTGCAGGTTTTCGTTGCCGCAGTTGACGAGGAACGAGATGACCTTCTTGTCGGTCTTCACGGCGCGGACGACCTCGCCCTTGTCCAACGAGCCGCTCTGATCCACGTCGATCATGTCGAAGACCTCGCGCGCCATCGAGATGAACGCCATGGAGAACTCTTTGTCCTCGCTGCGCGCCGCGCGGTTGCGCCGCTCGCGCTCGTCCTCGAGCTGCGCGAGGCGCGTCTCGAGGCCGCGGTTGACGGCCGTTTCCCACTCGTCCGCGTCGACCTCGCCGTCCTTAGACGTGTCGAGCACCTCGAGCGCCTTTTCCAAGCGCGCCGGCCGTAGTAGGAACTGTAGATTCTCCTCGCCGCAGTTCTGCAGGAACTTGACGACTTCCTTGTCTTCGGCGACGGCCTTGACGATTTCAGCCTTCGTGAGCGTGCCGCTGTTATCCTTGTCGATCATAGAGAAGCACTGGCGCGCCGCGTTTAAGAACTCGTTCGTAAATTCTTCGATCTCTTTCTGCGCGGCCTTGGCCTCGCGCTCGCCCAAGGTTGCCTCGGTAAACATGCTGTCGACGGTGGCGTCTCCCGCCGTCGCGTAGGCCACAGACGCCTCGCCCGGGCGGTGCAGCTCGACGTTGGACACGGAGACGGCGCCCCAGGAGAATTCCAGCAGCTGGACGAAGCTAGGCTCGGAAAGGGACGTCGCGACGGTGTGCTCGTCATCAGTCTCGATAAATACGTCGAGCACGAGGCTGCCCGCGCGCGCGGCTTGCACGTGGACGGCGCGGTCGCCCGCGACGCCGGCGTGCTTGCCCACGTCCGCGGCGAACTGCGCCTTCATTTGAGCGGTAGCGTCCGCCGAGCCGTAATCTTGCAGCGTCAGCGTCGCCGACACGCCCTGCGCGTTCGCCATCTCCTCGTGCGACAGCGCCGCGCCGATAGCTGGCAACTTGAGTTCTTCGGCCGGCGGGACGGCGCGGGCCGCGAGGGTCCTGGGCGAGATCGGTGGCAGACTGAGGTCATCTGTCTCGGGGACGGCCGAGGCAGAGTCGTTGTCGCCTTTTCCCTTGCGCTTCTTGCGCTTCTCGCGGCGCGCGGCGGCGCGCTTCTCCGCGTCGCCGGCGGACTCGAGGGCGAGGGCCTCGAGGGCCTCGTAGTCCTTGACGAGGGCGGGCAGCGGCTTCACGAGCGCGTCGAAGAGGGACCTGGGGACGGCCAGGACCTCGACGTCGTTCAGCGCGATCGCCGTTGCCGCGCGGTTCTTGTTCTTGAGCAGCGCGAGCTCGCCGAAGAAGTCGCCCTTCTTGAGCGTCGGGCAGACGGAGTCGTTGGCGCCGGCGACGTACTTGGTGCACTCCACGGACCCGTCGAGGACGACGAAGAAGTCGTCGCCCTTCTCCGTCTCCTTGACGATGAGCTCGCCCGTCTTGTGGTCCCTGCCCTTGGACCCGTCGACGATCTTCTTCTTGTCGTCGACGTCGAGCGACGCGAGGAGGGGCACGTCGCGCAGGGCGCCGAGGTAGAGGAGGCGCCGCTTCGGCACGGAGTCGCCGAGGATGGACCGCATCGTGAGCGTGTCGAGGGCCCAGGCCTTGAGCCGCGTCGCCGCGGACGCCGAGCAGCGCCGCGGGCCGCCGTCGAGGCACTCGGCCTCGCCGAAGAAGCGCTTGCCCGCGACGTCGGGCACGGTCCGCTGCGACTGGAAGCCCGACTCGCCGTCGAGGGACGCGTGGCCCTCCTCGACGACGTAGCAGTAGTCGACGCCCTTGCCCTCCGCGTAGACGCGTTGGCCCGGCGCGAAGCGCTTGAGCCGGAACGCGTCCGCGACGACGCCGAGCTCGCGGCGCGTGAGCTCGCCGAAGCAGGGCATCTTCGCGCACTCCTCGAGGAGCCAGGCGCGCTCGCCCGCGTCCTTGGCCGACGCGAAGGGCACCCACCGGCCGTCGCCGTCGATTTCCATCTCGCCGGGCACGCGGTCGGGCTCGTACGCGACGTCGTAGAGCGACGCGTCCTGGGCCGCCTCGGCGCCGAGGATCGACATCTGCTCGAGGCCCGCGCGCGTCGCCGCGGACAGCGTCTCCGCGTCCGTGGAAGCCGCGCGGACGAGCTTCTTGAGCGCGTCGAGCACCACGGGCGGACGGCAGTACGGCGACAGGATCCGCAGGCTCCACTCCACGAAGTCCTTGCGGGGCAGCCGCGGCTGGCTCGCGTCGTCGCTGGACGCGCCCTTGGCCCGCGCCGTGAACGCGAACGAGTCCGCCGCGCCGAGGTCGACGTCGTCGCTCAGCTCCTCGTACGCGACGCCGCTCCGCGCGGCGACGCCGCGGCGCAGCGCGCTGTCGTAGCGCTTGACGGCCACGCGCGCCGCGTGGTCCAGGGCCGTCATGTCGATGAACGCGGCGATGCTGCTGCCGCGCTTCAAACCCATGAACGACTCGAGCGCGCGGCCGAGGCTCAGGAGCATGATGCCGAGCTCGGAGCTGTTCAGCGCGCGCGCCTTGCTGAAGTCGAAGAGCGCGAAGAGGCGGCGCGCCTTGTCCTTGACGCCGTCGGCGCGGTCCGCGCCGCCGGGGCCCGGCGCGACGCGGCACATGGCCACCGCGCCGCACAAAAACGTCAACGCGTTGACCTTGCCCTCGGCGCCCGCTTCGAGCGCGCCGAGCACGCTCGCCGCCTCGCCGCGGAGCTGCGGGCCGAGGATGACGGCGAGCTCCGCGGGCGTCACCATGAAGGCGCCGTCCAAGTTCTTGCGATGGCGCACGATCATCGCGTCCACATCGCCGAGCGAGAGGCGGCTGAACGCCGAGAAGGGCGCCGGCAGCGAAACCGAAGCCCCCATAGTCGCCGACCGGTGGGCGCGACGACGCGCCGCGGACGACTACGCCGCGGGCTCTGCAGGGGTCCCGAGGGCGTGGCTGGCCTCGGGCGTCGATCGATCAGCCAGCGCGAGGCGCCGCTAGGTCGACTTCTGCGTAAACGTGCATCGGATAGAAAGATACTGAAGTTTTCATTTTCTCCTGCGGGCAATATGGAGGCCGGGATGTCCGTCTGAGGGCGCACCATGGCAGCCCTCCTGCAGGAGCGTTTCGAGCAGCTCGACGTGCACGCGCTGCGGTCCGAGTGCAAAAGGCTCGGCATCATCAGCTAGACCGATGCAGCGCGAAAAATGTGGAGTCTGCGGGAAGGAATACGCAAAGAAAAAAGACGGCACGCTGTGGAAACACGACTGCGTCAAAAACGTCATCGAGGTCAAACCGCGGGCGCACAGGAAGACGTGCATAAAGCTGCTGGAAGCCCGGGCATCGACGCTGCCGGCCAAGCAGCGCGACCCGAGAGGCGGGGCATCGAAGCACGACGCGCCACCCGCACCGCCGACGAAGCAGAACACCCCGCGGGCCTGGACGCTCTGCCCTGGGCGGATCCGCGGCGCCGCGTTCGACCGCGACGTCCTGCACTCGCTCGTCAAGGAGCTCGTCCGCGACTCGAACGTGTCGACGCGCCGCGCGGAGATCGCGGCCGCGCAGCCCGGGCCGGAGAAGCGACCGACGCACGACTACTACCTGCGCGCGCGGCCGCCGTCGGACGCCCTCGACGTGGACCACGTCGTCGAGTGCCAGCTCGCGGCCTTCGCCGTCGTCAACGCGGCCGAGACGCGCCGGATCCTCGCGCAGATCACCGACGCGAGCCGCACGAGGCAGCCCGTCGTCGTCCAAAACCTCTGCACGCCGCTCTACGACGTCCACAACGCGTCGGCGAACCTGCGCCTCCTCGACAAGAAGGTCAACGTGTCCAAGGGCGCCGTCTTCAAGGGCTTCGTCAGGGAGCTCTACGAGCGCGGCGCCGCGGGCGAGGAGGACGTCGTCCGCCGCATGTCGCGCCAGTTCCGCAACCTCGACCTGCCGCCCGCGGTCGACGTGGACGCGCTGGCCGGGAGCATCGGCGACGAGATGGCCCGCGTCGAGGACGCCTACGCCGCCGCGATCCGCGGCGGCGCGCTCGACGCGGCGGCGCGCGGCGCGAGGCGGCGCGACGCCGAGGCGACCATGGGCGCCGTCGCGGACAACGTCGTCCAGCTCTACGAAGACATGGGCCTCGCGCGACGACGATAATTAGAGCAGGTTGCCCCCGTCGACGAGGTTCCCGCCGAGGAAGTCGAGGAGCTCGCCGATCTCGCGGGGGACCATCTCGTGGCGCGCGCCGGCGACGAGGTCGAAATTCGCGTCGACGCCCGCGGCCTTGAGCCGGTCGAAGGTGCGGCGCCCCCACTCGGGCCGGATGAAGTCGTCGGCGGAGCCGTGGCGCACGAAGGTCTTGGGCCACGCGGCGCCCGACTGGTGCGCGATGCCGTAGGCCGGCGAATCGTCGGCCATGTAGCACGAGAGGCCGAAGACCGCGCCGAGGGGCGCGTGCGGCGCGCGCTGGTGGTAGCGCGCCGCCGTCTGGTAGGCCATGTTGCCGCCCATGCTGAAGCCGCCGACGGCGATCTTGTGCGGCGGCACGCCGCGCGCGACGAAGGATTCGACGAGGCCGAGCACCTTGCGGCACGACGCCTCGACGGACGCCGTCTGCTCCGGGAAGTGCGGGTCGAAGCCGCCGGCGCGGTCGTACCACACGCTCGTCGGCGCGCCGCCGGCGAGCGTGTAGGGGATCACCTCCGCGTCCGGAAAGTGCCACTCGAACTCGGCCAGCTCCTTCGCCGCCGCCAGCGACCGCACCCACTGCTCCGCGCCGCGGCCCGTGTCGCCGGAGCCGTGCAAGAAGATGACGACGGGCTTGTACGCGCTGACGAGCGAGGCCATGGTCGAGAGGTAGCAGAGGCGGCGCGCGAGCGAGCTCAGCATGAGGAGGCCGCCATCACCTGCAGGCCTGGCACGCGAGGCCGCTCTTTCCTTCAAATTGAGGCTCAACTCCCAGCACGCGTACGTCGCCGCGCGCACCCTCGTTGCCGCAGCAAAGAGAAATTATCACAGGCACACGTCAGCCAAGCGCGAGCGGCGGGGTGCGCCCCAGATCCGCGCCCTTCCGCTGCTATCTCGCGCCAAGACTCGCGTGCCGTCGGGCGTAAACGAGATAGTGTGGTCACGAACCCAGTCATGACCTGAGCGCTTGAGCTTCTTGACCTTCTTGCCCGTCTCCGCGTTCCACAACTGTATCGAGTCATCCACGGCCGTGGCGACGCGCGCGCCATCGGGGGAGAAGCAGCAGATCCACAGAGCTGCTGGGTGCCCGAGTGCGCCGTTGTGCCCCGTGAGCACGTTCAGAAGCACGCCAATCCGAGTACACCAGATCCGCGCCATCTTGTCTTCGCCCGCCGTCACCACGCGCAAACCCATCGGCGAGAAATCGCAGCTAGTGAAGCGGCCAATTGCGAGCCCCTCGAGCGTGTGAAGCGCCGCGCCCGTCTCGGCGTCCCAGATGGTCGCCACGCCCGTCCAGCAGTCGTCGATGTCGTGGAAACCGTCGCGCCTCTTGGCGCCCGCCGTCACGATGATGCCCTCATTTTGGCCGTGATAATCGGGCGAGAACAGGTAGCACACGATGGTGGACTTGTGGCCGCTGAGCGTCATCAGCGCGTCGCCAGTGGCCGTATCCCAAATTTCAAGGACGTCAAACCCGCTCTCCTGCCACCCACCTGGGATAGGATACCTTTCGTCCTTCGCCGTCGCCACGCGCGTGTCGTCGGGAGAGATCACGCATGTGTGGAAAACACCCGAGTAGTCGTCGTTCATGCGCGTCACCAGCATAGCCCCCGTCGACGCGTCCCAGATCTTGTACATCTCGTAGCACCTCGTGAAGACGCGTGTGCCCTCCCGGGCGGTGCCCTCGTGCGAAAACGCGCAGGCTAGCACTGCCCGACCGCCCGGGTGCCCCTCAAGCGTCAACAGCGAATCGCCCGTCTCCATGTCCCAGATCCGCGCCGTGCTGTCGTCGCTCCCGGTCACCGCCCACGCGCCACCGAGGGAGATGGCGCAGCAGGTGACCCGATCGGTGTGACCCTGGAACTGCTTCAGTAGCTCGCCCGTCTCCGCGCTCCAGAGCCGCGCCAGGTTGTCATTGCGGTCGCTACCCGCCAACACGCGCGCGCCGTCGGGCGAAAGCGCGCAGCAGGTGGCCGTCGGATAGCGTCCGCGCTCGGTCATAAACGCGGCCGCGTCGTTGGCGATCGCGTCCCGCCACAGCAGCTTGCGCTTCGTCTCGTCCAACTTCTTGGACGCGCTCACCGTCGCGATGTCCTTGCACGCGCAGCTCAGACTCGCGAAGTCGTCGATCGTGAGGGCGCTCTGGAAGATGAAGAAGAACGTGTCGGCCGGCAGCCTCTGGAACATGCCGACAGGGTCTGCGCCGACGGCGTCGAGCTCGCTCGCGCGGCCGCGCGGCGAAGCGCGGACGGGCGCGCGCGGCGCGCCCGCGGGCTGGCCCCCGGGCGCCGCGGCGAGGGGCGCTTCGGCGGGGCTGGGCGGCGCGCGCACCGCGACAGCAGGCGCCTCGGGCGCGGCCCCGGCCTCGAGCAAACGGATACAGTGACGGACTCGCTGAAGGTGCTGCGCCTTGGCCTCGAGCTCCGCCTCGAGCGCCGTCTCATCCTCCTTGAGCCCGGCGAGCAGCTGCTCCGGCGTCTGGGCCGTCGTCATGGTCGTCATGGTGGCCGTCGTCGGTGGCACGAGAACGCGGGCTGGCTAGCTCGATGGACGAGCCTTTTGTTATCTTTGTTGAAACTGTGCAAGTTGCACAGCAACATACGGGTCCCCGGCTGAGCCGTGCGCACCTGGACCCGAGGCGTGGTCCCGACAGATAGGCGACGCCGTTACGGGGGATGGGGGAGGGGTTGGGATTGTCGGCGGGGGATCGCCGCAGCTCTCGGGAAGACCTCACTTGCACTTGCCCTTCTTCTTGTCGAACTTGCAGCCCGCCTTCTTGCACGACTTCTTGTCCTTGAGTTTTTTGCAGGTGACTTTGCTGCACGTCTTCTTCTTGTACTGGCAGCCCTCGATGTCCTTGCAGGTGTTCTTGGCCAGTCCCGCGCACTCGTCGACCTCGACGACGCAGACCTTGTCCACGTAGCCGCAGCCCGCGGTCTTCTTGCAGGTCTTCTTGTCGAATCCCGCGCAGCCCGACGCGCAGCCCTCGGCGCCGCCGAGCTCGCCCGCGCAGGGGTCGGCGGCCTCGGTCGTTGTCGTCGTCGCCGGGACCGGGACCGGGACCGGCGCGTCGGCCGCCGTGGGGCGGGGCGTCGCCGGGACCGGCGTGGGGCGGGGCGTCGCCGGCGCCGGCGCCGGCGCGGACGCGGAGCAGCGCGCGAGGTCCGTCTGGCGCAGGCCCGCGCACTTGGAGCTCGCCGCGGCCGCGCCCGTCTCGTCGCGGCACGACGCGGCCCCGCAGTCCGTCTCGCCGCGGTACCAGTGGTAGGTGTGGTGGTCGCCCGTGTGGCACGCGCCGTCGAGGCACATGCCGCCGCTGCAGGGCAACCCGTCGCCGCCGGGCACGGAGTTCGTGTAGCAGCCGCCGCCCGAGGGCCCGCAGTAGCCCTTGGCGCACGTCGACGACGAGCACGCGGAGGTGTAGCCCGCGCCGGAGTACTGCGACGACGCCTCGCAGTAGTCGTCGCCCCAGGACTTGCACTCCTTGGCGTAGCACGTGCCCGCGTCCCTGCCCGCGTTGTCGTCGGTGCAGGCGCCGCCGTTCGCCTTGGAGAGGTCCGGCGGGCAGAGGCCCGACTTGCCCGTGCACTTCTCCGCGACGTCGCAGTCGCCGACGGACGCGCGGCAGGTCGCGCCCGCGGCCTTGAGCTTGCCCGCGCTCGTGCAGCAGCCCTCCCAGGGCGAGCAGTCGCAGCCCGCCTTCAGCGCGCAGCCGTCGGAGCAGCAGTCGTCGTCGCCGAAGAGGCCCGGGTCGCAGTCCTCGCCGGGGTCGACGATGCCGTCGCCGCAGACCGGCTTGTCCCAGGCCTCGTCGTCGGGCGTGTCGACGCAGAGGTCCGTCATGGAGCCGTACTTGTTCGCCATGAACTTGGCGCTCTCGGTGCGCGACTTGGCGCTGAACTGGAGGTTCGCGGTGCCCAGCTGGGGGTTCACGGAGAGCGTCGTGCCCATGAGGTTGGTCCCGGACGTGTCGTGGTTCATGCCCCAGTTGTGGCCCGTCTCGTGCGCGACGATGGTCGCGGTCTTCGTGATCGAGTCGAAGTTGGCCTCGTTGACGCCCGAGGAGAAGAAGTTGTCCCAGGCGTACTTCGTGGAGGAGGGCACGGCGCAGATGCGGCCGACCCAGGCGAGGCCGATGACGCCCTGGTTGAGGTCCTCGCTCGTCAGGAGCATCGCGTTGTCCATTTTCACCTTGAGGATCGCCTCGAGCTCGGCCTGCTTCTCGCCGACGTACTCGGAGAACGACGTGAGCAGGCAGTAGGAGCTCACCTCGCCGTCGAAGCAGAAGTTGCGGTTCGACGCCGACGAGCCGCACTTGTCGCAGCCGTCGCCGGACGACCCCTTGCCCGCGTACTTCATCTTCGCGGGGTTGCCGCCGCGCCACGTGACCTGGCCGACGAGCCGCGGCCGCACGACGCAGTCGAACTTGTCCCCGTCGTAGAGGCCGCCCGTGTCGACGTCCTCGTAGATGGACTTGACGACGGCGAAGATCTCCGCCGAGTGGTCCTCGACGGCGTCGCCGTAGGCCTCGTAGCGCGCCGCGTCGTTGAAGAGCACGACGGAGAGGTACTTGTCCGCCTTGCCGCTGCACGTCGCGCTCGCGAGCTTGCGGCCCTGGCGCGAGAGCAGCTCCGCGCCGTGGTCGTGGCCGTGGTCGTGGCCCTCCTCGTGGTCGTCGTGGTGGTCGTCGTGGTGGTCGTCGTGGGCGTCGTGGTCGTCGTGGTCGTGGCCCTCGTGCGCCTCGTGGGCCTCGCGGTCGCCGTGGTCGTGGCCCTCGTGCGCCTCGTCGTGGTCGCCGTGGTCGTGGCCCTCGTGCGCCTCGTGGGCTTCGCGGCCTTCGAGCTTGCGGTGGGGCTTGCGCCCGAAGTTCTTCTCCTGGTCGATGATGAACTGGTCGTTGACGCCGCAAAAGGACCCGTCGTCCTCGCGGTCGCGGAGGGGGTCGAAGGAGATGTGGCGCCGCGTCGCCCGGTCCCAGCCGACCTCCTGGAGGTCGCCGGCGTCGTAGCGCACGACCGCGCCGAGCGTGCCCGGCCCGCAGAGCGACGCCGTCGCTATTCCCTTCTCGACCGAGCCGTCGTCGCGCACGCGGCGCGCGGGGCCCGCGTAGTGGCACCCGCGGGGCTTATCGCGCTTGACGCTCATGACGCCGTCCTCGATGACGATCTCCTTGTAGCCTCGGCTGAACATGGCCTCCTCGCGCGCGAGCTCGAGCGTCACGACGCCGCCCGAGCCCTCGATCGAGATCATCTCCTCCTCGCCGAGGGGCGCCTCCTCGGCCACGGCGTCGACGGACATGACGCCCAGGCCCCCCCGGACGACGCGCACCTCCTCGTAGTCCGTCAGGCCCTCGCTCAGGAGCCGCCGGGCGGCGGAGGCCGTCGGGGCCAGGATCGCGAAGAGGAGGAGGCCCCGCATCGTTCGGTTCGCGCTGAAATTCGGAGGGGGGGTTCTGGGAGAGTCGAAGACCTCGTCCGGGGCGGGGGGGCGTCCTGAAGCCGGGTAGGGGCGGCGCGCGCGCGTGACAGGTGCCGTAAGTGCAGAGCGGGACGGGCGTGCGCGAATTGGCGCCAATCTGGCCGGGGTAAATCGCAGGCGCGGGCCGCGGGCGGCAGGAGGCCTCCGGATCGCCTCGGGCGCTCGTCCGTGGCCGCGCGGACATCCGGGAGTGGGGCGCACGCGTCCGGCGCGAGATCCGCCGCTCCCCGGACGCCATGCCGGCGTCCCCGCGACGGCGCGTTGCCGAGGCGGCCCGCCAGGACGGGCCCCAGGACCTGAGGCCGCCAGCTACGATTCGCTACGAAAGACGAGGCATACTACGTAGTAATTAATCAGCTTTGCACGTCTCGCTCTCCTTCTTGTACTTGCAACCGTCGGTCTTCTTGCACTTTTTCTTCGACAGTCCGGAGCACGACGAGGCGGCGCTGCACTGCTTCTTCTTGTAGTCGCAGCCGTCGGTCTTCTTGCAGGCCTTCTTCTCGAGTCCCGAGCACGCGTCGCCTTCGCTCGTGGAGCACGTCTTCTTCTTGTAGGCGCAGCCCGCGGTGTTCTTGCAGGTCTTCTTCTCGAGTCCCGAGCACGCGTCGCCTTCGCTCGTGGAGCACGTCTTCTTCTTGTAGGCGCAGCCCGCGGTGTTCTTGCAGGTCTTCTTCTCGAGTCCCGCGCAGGCGTCGCCGGGGTCCGCGCAGCCGGAGCCGCCGCCGAGCTCGCCCGCGCAGGGGTCGTCGGGCGCCGCCGTCGTCGTCGTCGGCGCGGCGACGGGGGCCGCGGACGACTTGGGCGTCGGCTCCGGCGCGGCGACGGACGGCGCGGGCGTCGGCCGCGGCGTGGGCCGCGGCGTGGGCTCGCGCGTCGGCGGCGCCGTCGTCGTCGTCGGCGCGGGCGTCGCCGCCGCGGCCGTGGGAAGGTTCGTCGGGTCGCGCGTGGGCTCGCGCGTGGGCTCGCGCGTGGGCGGCGCGGACGCGGGCGCCGGGCCCGCATCCGCGCAGCGCGCGAGGGCCGCGGGGACCGCCAGCCCGCCGCAGTCGCCGTCGCTCGCCGCGGCGCCCGTCTCGTCGCGGCAGACGGGCGCGTCGCAGTCGGTCTCGCCGCGGTACCAGTGGTACGCGTGGAGTGCCTCCGTCGCGCAGGCCTGGTCGACGCAAAAACCCCCGTCGCAGGGGAGGCCGTCTCGCAGCGGGCCGCCGCCGACGCCGTAGCTCCAGCAGGAGGTGCCGCCGGGTTCGCGACACGCGCCCCGGTCGCACGTCGACGATGCGCAGGCCTCCGTGGCGCCCTTGGCCACCATGCCGGAGCTGGCCTTGCAGAAGTCGTGGCCCCAGCTCAGGCACTCGCCCCCGTAGCACACCCCGACGCTCGCGTCCGAATCCGCGCAGCCCGCGCCCCGGGCCAGCGAGAGGTCCGGCGGGCAGAGGCCCGAGGCGCCCGTGCACGCCTCCGCGACGTCGCACGCCGCGTCGGCCGCCGCGCGGCAGGGGACGCCCGCGGCCTCGAATTGGCCGGAGGGCGTGCAGCAGGCCTCGGACGTCGCGCAGTCGCAGCCCGCCTTCAACGCGCAGTCGTCCCCGCAGCAGGCGTCGTCGCCGAAGAGGCCGACGTCGCAGTCCTCGCCGGGGTCGACGACGCCGTCGCCGCAGACGGGTCGGTCCCAGGTCACGGCCTCCTCCGTCTCCAGGCAGAGGTCCGTCCACGTGCCGTAGTCGCCCGCCATGAAGCTCGCGGCGCCCGCGCGCGACGCGGGCGAGAAGCGCACGTTCTCCGCCGACGGCTCGCCGCTCTTCACGTAGGGGCTCATGAGGTTGTCCGAGTCCTCGTCGTCGTGGCCCATGCCCCAGTTGTGGCCCATCTCGTGCGCGACGATGGCCGCGACGGCGGACACGGACGCGAAGTTGGCCTCGTTGATGCCCGACGAGTAGAACCGCGACCACGTCCGCACGGCGCCGGGCAGCGGGTTCGCGCACATGCGGCCGACCCAGGCGAGGCCCACCGTCCCCCCGCTAAAGTCCTCGGACGTCAGCAGCATCGCGTTGTCGAGGGGCGCGCCGAGCAGGGCCTCGAGCTCGTCCTGCTTCTCGCCGACGTACGACGAGAACGACGTGAGCAGGCAGTAGGAGCTCACCTCGCCGCCGAAGCAGAAGTTCCCGTTCGACGCGGAAGACCCGCAGTCCTCGCAGCCGGCGCCGTGCGTCTTGTACTCGACCTTGGCCGGGTTCGCGCCGCGCCACGTGACCTGGCCGACGAGCCGCGGCCGCACGACGCAGTCGAAGGTCTCCCCGTCGTAGAGGCCGTCGTTGGGGTTGACCGCGTCCTCGTAGATGGCGCGCACGACGTCGAAGATCTCCGCGCTGTGCGCCTCGACGGAGGCGCCGTGGTCCGCGTGGCGGCTCGCGTCGTTGAAGAACACGACGGACGCGTACTTGGACGCGCCGTTCTCGCACCCGCCCGCGAGCGAACGCCGGTTCCGGGACAGGAGCGCGTCGGGGTGGTCGTGGTCGTCGTGGTCGTGGTGGTCGCGGTCGGCGAGCCTTCGGTGCGGGTCGCGGCCGAAGCGCGCCTCCTGGTCTTTTATGAACTGGTCGTTGACGCCGCACTCGTAGCGCCGCTCGTCGTCGCCGAGGCGCCGCTTGTCCGCGATGGGGTCGAAGAGGACGTGCGCGGCCGCGCCGCGGTCCCAGCCGACCTCGTGCACTCCGCCGCCGTCGTAGCGGATCACGGCGGACAGCGCGCCCGCCGCGCAGAGCGACGCCGAGGCGGCGCCGCGCTCGACGGAGCCGTCGGCGCGGACGCGCGACGCCGGGCCCGCGTAGTGGCAGTCGTGCGGGCCGACGCGCTCGACGCGCATCTCGCCGTCCTCGACGACGATCTCCTTGTACTGGTCCCCGTACATGGGGCTCGCGGACCGGTCGAGCGCGAGCTCGATGACGCCCTCGGCGCCGGCGTCGATCGTCACGGCCTCGCGGTCCGCGAGGGGCGTCGCCGCCGCCGCCGAGTCGACGGAGAGGACGCCGAGGCCGGCGCGGGAGACGACGACTTCGTCGAACCGGTCCAGATCATCGGTGAGGAGGCGTCGGGCGCCCTCGACGGATGCCAGGGCCGTGAGAAGCGCCACGAGGCGCATCGTTCGGTGCGGCGGGCAATGGGGGATTGAGTCGTGGGCGCGTAGGCGGGGTGCGTCGCCTAATGCAGAGTGATGCTCGTGCCGAGGGCGCTCGGAGCAAAATCTCACGCTGGGTGCAGCACGCCCTAGGCCTAAATCTACCCCTAGAGCATCGCGCTCATGTCGTTCTCCATGCCCCCCCTCGGCGGCGTCGTCGTCCTTGCGCCAGGCGGGCTTGGCTTCAGGAACGCGAGGCACCAGACCGCGAAGGTCGGCGCGGAGAGGAACGCGGCAACGACGACGCCAAGGCCAAGCACGACTCGCCCGCGCGCAAGCGCAGCATCTCGGGCTCGGGCGAACGACGCGGCGTAAAGACTTAGGCTATACTCGCGCGTCGAGGCGCGCGAGGCACCTCGTAGATCCCTCGTTGCCCTTGGCAGCGGCGCGCTCGAACCAGTACCTGGCTTTGCCGACGTCGACTTCCGTGCATGCTCCGCTCATGTAGCAACAGCCAAGGTTATGCTCTGCACGTGTATAACCTTGATTCGCCGCGAGCGCGTAGTACCGAAACGCTTCTTCATGTTTCTCCTCAGCATCAAGTAAAAACGCCAAATTGCATTGCGCGGCCGCGACGCCCCGATCTGCTGCCGCGCGATACAGCCGCGCCGCCTTCTTCTTGTCAAGCTTGACGCCACTTCCATGCTCGTACAACATCCCAAGATTAATCATCGCGTCCACGTCGCCGAGCTCCACGGCGCGCTTCCAAATTTTTGCGGCTTTCTTATCGGATTTCACGAGGCCGTACCAACCGAAGTAGTACGCATTTCCCAAAAACGAAATCGCTTCCGGCACTTCGTTCTCCACATGGCGGCGAAGATGCGCGAGCTGCTCCGCATGGATCTTTGGGCAGGGTAAACGACAGAGGGGACACGCGTCGGAGTCGAAGATCTTGTCACTGCACGACTTGCAGACCTTTCGGCAGCAGCAGGTACGTAACACCCACTCAGCATTCACGTCCCACTCATCGAGACAAATCGGGCACCGCGACCCGAACCGCGCCGACACCGGCTCCGGCTCCGGGTTCTCCTCGCGTCGCGCGCGTGCGGCCTCGTGTTCCGCCGCGATGCGCGCGCGGACCTCGTCGGCGTGCGACCGCGGCGCGGGGCCGTAGACCACGTCGCGCGGCGGCGACGGCGGGGGCGTCGGCGCCTCGGCCCGCGCCGCCTCCGCGGCCTGGACCTTCTTGCAGACCTTCCGGTGGCCCCGGTCGCGCCAATCGATGCGTTGGCAGTCCGTCGAACAGTAGGCCGTCGTGCCGCACCCTCCGCACGCCTTGGCTTTGTCGGCGCCGCAGATCGTGCAGGTCTTGAGAGTGTCGAGTTTTTTGCCCCTCGCTCGGGCCATGCGAGTCTCATACTCCAACTTCTTCTCCTGCCACGACATGACTCGGCGCGCGTCCTTGACCGGGGCGTCGCCGCACAAGCTCCTGAAGACCCGAGCTCGCAAGGCAAAATCGCTCAAAATCTTACCCCAGGCCTAAGCCCACCCCCTAGCGCATGGCGTTCATGTCGTTCTCCACGCCCCCCTCGGCGGCGACGTCGTCCTTGCGCCAGGTGGGCGTTCAGGAACGCGAGGCACCAGACCGCGAAGGTCGGCGCGGTGAGGAACGCGGCGACGACGACGCCAAGGCAAGCACGACTCGCTTGCGCGCAAGCGCAGCATCTCGGGCGACGACGCGGCGTGAAGACTTAGGCTATACTCGCGCGTCGAGGTGCGCGAGGCCTTCTGTAGCTTCCTCGCTGCCCTTGGCAGCGGCGCGCTCGAACCAGTATCTGGCCATGCCGAGGTCGACTTCTGTGCCGTCTCCGTCCATGTAAGAGCAGCCAAGGCAAAACTCCGCACCGATATGGCCTTGATCCGCCGCGAGCGCGAAGTACCGGAACGCTTCTTCGTGTCTCTTCTCAGACTCAAGGAAAAATCCTAAACTGGTTTGCGCGACCGCGTTGCCCCGATCTGCGGCCATGCGATACAGCCGCTCCGCCTTCTTCTTGTCCAGCTTGACGCCGCTTCCATCCCTGTACAAGGTTCCCAGGTTTCTCATCGCGTACACGTTCCCGAGCTCCACGGCGCGCTTCCAAATTTTTGCGGCTTTCTTATCGGACTTCACGAGCCCCAACCAACCGTCGTGGTACGCGTCTCCCAAACACGAAATCGCTTCCGGCACTTCGTTCTCCACATGGCGGCGAAGACGCGCGAGTTCTTCCGCATTGCTTTCTGTGGACGATAACCGACAGAGGGGACACGCCTCGAGTCCGATCTTGTCGTTGCACGATTGGCAGACCTTTCGGCAGCAACAGATGCGAAACACGCCCGCAGCATTCACGTCCCACTCCTCGAGGCAGATCGGGCACCGCGACCCAAACCGCGCCGAGAGGGGCTCGGGCTCCGGGTTCGCCTCCCGCAGGGCACGAGCCGCCTCGTGTTCCGCCGCGATGCGCGCGCGGACCTCGTCGGCGTGCGACCGAGGCGCGGGGCCGTAGAACACGTCCCGCGGCGGCGACGGCGGGGGCGTCGGCGCCTCGGCCCGGGCCACCTCCGCGGCCTGGATCTTTTTGCAGACCTTCCGGTGGCCCCGGTCGCGCCAATCGATGCGTTGGCAGGCCGTCGAACAGTAGGCCGTCGTGCCGCAACCTAGACAGGGCCGGGCATCCTTCTTCCCGCAAATCGTGCATATGTTGAGCGCCAGCTTTGTACGAGTTTTTCGCGCCTCGTACTCTCGCTTCTTCTTGATCAGTTCCGGGTCCATGATCTCTTCCCACGCTCGTCGCCGACGCTCCCTATTCAACCACCTCACTCGTCTATCGTCCCTCGGGGTCGCAAGGCAAAATCGCTCAAAACCTGACGCCAGGGCTAAGCCCTACCCCTAGAGCATCGCGCTCATGTCGTTCTCCATGCCCCCCCTCGGCGGCGTCGTCGGCCTTGCGCCAGGCGGGCTTCGCATTCAAGAACGCCAGGCACCAGACCGCGAAGGTCGGCGCGGAGAGGAACGCGGCGACGACGACGCCAAGGCCAAGCACGACTCGCCCGCGCGCAAGCGCAGCATCTCGGGCTCGGGCGACGACGCGGCGTAAAGATTGTTAGGCTATGGTCGCGCGTCGAGGAGCGCGAGGTTCTCTATGGCTTGCTCCTCGCCCTTGGCAGCGGCGCGCTCGAACCAGTATCTGGCTTTGCCGAGGTCGACTTCCGTGCCATTTCCGCGCTCGTGACAAATGCCAAGGTTGTTCTCTGCACGTCTATAACCTTGATCCGCGGCGAGCGCGTAGTACCGGAACGCTTCTTCAAATCTCTGCTCAGAGTAAAGTAAAAGCCCTGTATTGTATTGCGCGAGCGCGATGCCCCGATCGGCGGCCGTGCGATACAGCCGCTCCGCCTTCTTCTTGTCCAGCTTGACGCCGCTTCCATCCCTGTACAAGGTTCCCAGGTTTCTCATCGCGTACACGTTCCCGAGCTCCACGGCGCGCTTCCAAATTTTTGCGGCTTTCTTATCGGACTTCACGAGCCCCAACCAACCGTCGTGGTACGCGTCTCCCAAACACGAAATCGCTTCCGGCACTTCGTTCTCCACATGGCGGCGAAGACGCGCGAGTTCTTCCGCATTGCTTTCTGTGGACGATAACCGACAGAGGGGACACGCCTCGAGTCCGATCTTGTCGTTGCACGATTGGCAGACCTTTCGGCAGCAACAGATGCGAAACACGCCCGCAGCATTCACGTCCCACTCCTCGAGGCAGATCGGGCACCGCGACCCAAACCGCGCCGAGAGGGGCTCGGGCTCCGGGTTCGCCTCCCGCAGGGCACGAGCCGCCTCGTGTTCCGCCGCGATGCGCGCGCGGACCTCGTCGGCGTGCGACCGAGGCGCGGGGCCGTAGAACACGTCCCGCGGCGGCGACGGCGGGGGCGTCGGCGCCTCGGCCCGGGCCACCTCCGCGGCCTGGATCTTTTTGCAGACCTTCCGGTGGCCCCGGTCGCGCCAATCGATGCGTTGGCAGGCCGTCGAACAGTAGGCCGTCGTGCCGCAACCTAGACAGGGCCGGGCATCCTTCTTCCCGCAAATCGTGCATATGTTGAGCGCCAGCTTTGTACGAGTTTTTCGCGCCTCGTACTCTCGCTTCTTCTTGATCAGTTCCGGGTCCATGATCTCTTCCCACGCTCGTCGCCGACGCTCCCTATTCAACCACCTCACTCGTCTATCGTCCCTCGGGGTCGCAAGGCAAAATCGCTCAAAACCTGACGCCAGGGCTAAGCCCTACCCCTAGAGCATCGCGCTCATGTCGTTCTCCATGCCCCCCCTCGGCGGCGTCGTCGGCCTTGCGCCAGGCGGGCTTCGCATTCAAGAACGCCAGGCACCAGACCGCGAAGGTCGGCGCGGAGAGGAACGCGGCGACGACGACGCCAAGGCCAAGCACGACTCGCCCGCGCGCAAGCGCAGCATCTCGGGCTCGGGCGACGACGCGGCGTAAAGATTGTTAGGCTATGGTCGCGCGTCGAGGAGCGCGAGGTTCTCTATGGCTTGCTCCTCGCCCTTGGCAGCGGCGCGCTCGAACCAGTATCTGGCTTTGCCGAGGTCGACTTCCGTGCCATTTCCGCGCTCGTGACAAATGCCAAGGTTGTTCTCTGCACGTCTATAACCTTGATCCGCGGCGAGCGCGTAGTACCGGAACGCTTCTTCAAATCTCTGCTCAGAGTAAAGTAAAAGCCCTGTATTGTATTGCGCGAGCGCGATGCCCCGATCGGCGGCCGTGCGATACAGCCGCTCCGCCTTCTTCTTGTCCAGCTTGACACCACTTCCATCGTTGTACAAATTCCCAAGATTCACGATCGCCTCCACGTTCCCAAGCTCCACGGCGCGCCGGTAAATCTTCGCGGCTTTCTTATAGGATATCACGAGGCCGTAGAGACCGCGTCGGTACGCGTTTCCCAAACACGTAATTGCTTCCGGCACCTCGTTCTCCACATGGCGGCGAAGACGCGCGAGGCTTTCCGCTTCGGTTTCCGCGAGCGGTACACGACAGAGGGGACACGCGTTTCTGATCTTGTCCTGGCACGATCGGCAGACCTTTCGGCAGCAGCAGGTGCGAAACACGCCCGCAGCATTCACGTCCCACTCCTCGAGGCAGATCGGGCACCGCGACCCAAACCGCGCCGACAGCGGTTCCCGCTCCGGGTTCGCCTCCCGCCGAGCGCGGGCGGCCTCGTGTTCCGCGGCGATGCGCGCGCGGACCTCGTCGGCGTGCGACCGCGGCGCGGGGCCGTAGAACACGTCCCGCGGGGGCGACGGCGGGGGCGTCGGCGCCTCGGCCTGCGCCACCTCCGCGGCCTGGATCTTTTTGCAGACCTTCCGGTGGCCCCGGTCGCGCCAGTCGATGCGTTGGCAGTTAGTCGAACAGTAGGCCGTCGTGCCGCACCCTAGGCAGGCCTTGGCCTTGTCGGCGCCGCAGATCGTGCAGGTCTTGAGAGTGTCGAGTTTTTTGCCCTTCGCTCGGGCCATGCGATTCTCATACTCCAACTTCTTCTCCCGCCACGACATGATCTCGGCGCGCGTGCTTCACCGGGTTGAGTCGCCAAGGTCCTGGCTCTGATGTCCAGGCGGCGAAGCCACGAGTACAGCTGTAGGGGGGGACACTGAAAATCGGCCGATCGCAGATCGTCGAATTTGGCGGCGCCGCCCAGTGCGATGGATAGAGGGCATCTAGCTGATAATCAAAGAGTCTGGGTTCGTGGAAATCGATCCGGATTTCGTAAAGTTATGGCTTCGCGAAGCCTCGGTTTTTTTCCTATGGGGCTGGACGAATCCCATTTCGTTCAAGGCTGGAAAATGTTGAAAATCGCGCCGTGTACACCCGCGTTTTCTTTTATATGTTCCATGGGGCCCGGCCCAACGTCGATCGAGCCAAAAATCTTGGGTGTACACGGCCGGGAAGTCGACCTACGCGTCTCAGGCGTAAACAGAGACCCCAGGCGAAATTTGAGGTAATTATCTTCTGTCCGAGCTTCATTGTCCGCCCCTACCACGAGGAGCCTGCTCGACGGAGCGAGCCTCGATCGCTGGGCAGCCTCTGGGCCAAGACCCTCTCCATCGGCCGCCCCCCCAAATACGAACTACGAAGAGCAAAAGTAGACCACGCCCCTAGGCGAGGTTCGCGCGCGGGTCGGCCTTGGGCTCGACCTCGGAGAGCGTGACGCCCGCGGGCGCGTCCGCGACGGCCGGCTGCTTGGCCTTGTAGACGGCCGCGACGACGAGCGCGAGGACGACGGCGCAGGCGCAGACGATGATGACGATGGTCGTCATGCCGATGCCCGCGGTGTCCGAGTCCTTGGACGAGCCGCTCGCCGCCGGCGCGCCGGCCGTCGCCGTCGTCGCCACGGGCGTCGCCACGGACACGACGGAGAGCGTGCCCTCGGGCCCGAAGGCGAAGAAGGCGATGGCGTCCGCGTCGCCGGACGCCGCGGCGGCGGCGTTGAGCTGGAAGGCGACGGTCGTCGCCGTCGCCGTCGTCGCCTGCGGCGCGCGAGTCGAACGCGCCCGCGCGAAAATTCGCGCGAGGGACCGACGCGGGTCCGCGCGAGGTGGTTCGCGACGTCGACGGCGTCCTCCTCCGAGTCGACGTCAACGATGTAGCTCGCGACGAGGTTGTCGCCGTCCTCCTCGTAGTACGCGAGCACGCCGTCGGACACGCCCGCGAGCGCGGCGAAGGCGGCGACGAAGACGGCGTGGTAGGTCGCGGCCGTCTCCGCGAGGAAGGCGCCCTCCGAGGACGCGAGCGTCACGCTGCCCGCGACGACGTGGTCCGCGGCCGTCGGCGCGAGCGAGACCGTCGGCGCGGCGAGCGGCGACCGCGTCGGCCGCGGCGTCGGGGTCTTCGTCGGCACGGGGCTCACGGACGGCCGCGGCGTCGGCTCCGGCGTCGTGAAGATGTGGCCCGGCACCTACCGCGGGCGACGGTCATGCTCCACGCGGTCGAACGCGCCCGCTCTCGCGACGCGCCGCGCGCGCCTCGCTCGACGCCGCGCGGCGCGAAGGACGACGTCGCCGCGTCCTGGAGGGCGTCGCCGACGGGCGACTCGACGTCGACGCCGACCTCGGCGAAGGCGTCCTCGATGAAGCCGTCGAGGGACTCGGGCGTCTCGGAGACGATGTCGAGCGTGTCCTCCCAGATGGTCTCCTCGAAGGTGCTCCCGGCCTCGAACTCCCACCAGATGTCGACCGTGCCCGTGTCCTCGTCGGCGACCGTGACGCTGTCGATGACGATGTCGTCCGGGTCCACCGTCGCGTCGTAGCCGAACGCGTCGAGCTCGTTCGCGACGCTGTTGGGCACGTAGGCGTTGAGGCTGTCGGCGATGGCCTGCGACGGCCGCGGATCTCTCTCGCCGTGGCGGTTCGCGCGCGTACCTGGGCGAAGATGTCCGTCGCGTTCGCCCCGTCGCCGAGGACCTCGACGTCGACGCCCTCGAGGGTCATCGTGCCCGTGACCCACTTGCCCGCCTGCGGAACGGTGCGCGTCAAAGCGGACGGATCGCCCGGGAGCATCGCGCGTCGACGCGCGTCGACGCGACGGATAGCAGACGCCGGTGCGCGCCCAGGCGCTGGGCGCGGCGAGCGCGAGGGCGGCGAGGAACAGGCGCGACGGGCTGCCCATCGTGCTCGAATTTCAGTGGTCGGAGAGGCTTCCGAAACCATCATTGACGTCAAGGTGCCGCTGTTAGGCCGCCGGGGGCGCGAGGAGGGCCCGGGCGACGCGGTCGACGAGGGGCGCGACGAGGTAGGGCGCGTAGCAGTAGTGCGTGCAGTCGAGCTGGTCCCGGCCCTTCATGCCCAGGTGGAGGTCGCCGCGGCCGTCGAAGAGGTCCGCGGTCTCCGCGCGGGGGACGCGGCCGCCCGCGGCCGCGGCGAGGGACGCCTCCATGGCGCCGTAGCCGCCTGCGACGGTGGCGCGTCCCGGGCCGAACGACATTCCGCGAGACGCCGGCGGGACGCGCCGGACACGCGTCGCACGCAGGCCGTCGCGCTCTTGTTCCGGTGGTGGTAGATGCCGTCGCTCTGCGGCGACTCGAAGTGCTGCGCGTACGTCGCGCGCCACGCGAGCGCGACGCGGCGCCGCCGCTCCGCGTCGCCGTCGCGCCAGTCCGCCGCGCGGGCCAGGAAGGCCAGGATCTTCGCGCCGTAGGTCTCGGGCCGCTCGTCCGGCGGCCACTGGTAGAGGCCCTGGTTGAAGACGTGCGCGACGCGGCCCGGCGACCGCCGCAGCGTCTCCCGGAGGTAGGCCTCGAAGCGCTCCGGCTCGAGGTCCGCGACGCGGAAGACGCGCATGGCGTGGATCCTCAGGCGGGCGCCCGCGCGGCCTAGGACGCGGCGTCGTCGCGCGCGTCTCTCGAAAAAAAGGGGCGACGCCGCGCGCGACGGGCCTCGAGGCTCCGCAGCGGGAGCCGGATCCAGTGGTGGAGCGTCGCGTTCACGGCGACGGCGTCCTTGAGCGCCGCCTCCATCGCCGCCGCGTCGCCGTCGTCGACGGCGAAGCCCGCGCGGAGGAGCTCGCAGGACCAGAAGTAGACGTCGCCGACCGTCGCCGAGTCGCCCCAGAGGTAGAGGTCCGCGAAGCCCGCGTCCGCCAGGCGCGCGACGCTGTCGCCCGTCGACAGGCGGTGGCCGTCGCGGTCGTGCCAGAACCGGGCGTAGGCGTCCGTCGCCGTGTTGTCGAGGCACCTGGGCAGGAAAAGAGTGCGAAATTCCCAACTTCAAAGGCTCCTATCTCGGCCGTTTTCCACTCGTTCCGGCTGATTTTTGGACGAGCGATCATCTCTTGGAACGGTCTCGAAGCGTGGATGCTTTTTCCGGAACGCGCGCGCGCGGAACACTCACGTTGAAGCTAACTTGAATCTCTCCTTTCCTGCCCTGCGAGGCACGCGGCGTGCTGCTGCGCGTGGACGAGGCACCGCCGCGCCGCGAGCGGCTCGGCCTCGCCGGCGTCGCAGCCCTCGGCGCGCGCGCGCGCGACGGCCGCGCGGAGCGTGAGGCCCGCGTGGCGCAGCACGCAGCGCTCCGACGGCCGGAGCCCGACGGCGGCGGCCACGGGCGCCATCTCGGCGCCGGCCGTGACGGCGCCCGCGCGCCAGCCCGAGGGGCCGTAGTCCTGGAGCGTGCCGTGCGGCGCGTAGCAGCCGGGCAGCAGCAGCAGCAGCGCGAGGGCCGTCCGCAGCATGTCGAGCGAGCGAAATGCAGCTCGCGGACCGGGCTGCTACGCCGCCATCATTGCATGCGCGGGGGGGCAGCGTCACTTCAACGTGCAACATGGCCGCAGCGCCGCACAATGGGAGAGCGCGGGAGCGCGATGACGGCATAGTAATCCGAAGTCCTCCGGCACGCTCGACGTGATTGCCTCGGGGACGATGAAGACGCTCGCGGAGCCGCTCAACGGGCTCAGCGTCCTCTACGGCGAGCACCCGCGCGTGGGCTACCGCCGGAAGCCGCCGCCGAAGCAGCCCAAGGCCGTCCACAAGGTCAACGGCGCCAAGGTCGCGCGGCGCGCCGCGAAGACGTCGTCGCCCTTCGACACGGGCCTGCCCCCGCGGCCCAAGGCCGCGAGCCACATGCGCAAGGAGGGCGCCGTCGACATGTCCAAGTACCGCCAGCCGCGCAAGGCCGCGACGCCGAAGCAGCGGGCCGCGCGCGCCGCGTCCGCGCCCGCGCGCAACGACGGCGCCACCGTGCTCTCCTACGAGGCGGCGGCCCACCTCGCCAACGCCCACCTCGGCCGCGGCGCGCCGCTGCGCAAGCGGCAGCGCGCGCCCAGGCGCGCGAGCCCCGACTACGTCGCGGAGCTCCGGCGCGCGGGCCTCGCGGGCGCCGACGCGCGGCTCGTCGAGGCCCACGAGCGGTCGAGGAGCGCGCCGACGATGCGCCGCGCGCCGCGGGCCGTCGCCGCGCCCTCGGAGGCGACGACGCGGGGCATCTTCTGGACCGTCCACGACGCGCAGCTGCGCCACAACAACCCGGACCACGAGCTCCGCGAGCTCCGCGCGCTCATGCGCGCCGAGGCGCGGCGCGCGGGCGCGGCGAAGCTCGACCGGGGCGCCCTGCGCGCGCGCGGCGGCGGCAAGGGCGGCCGCGCCGTCGCCGCGAATCGCTTCGAGGCCGCGGACGCCGCGACCCACCGATTGAAGCTCACCGTCGAGCAGCGCTTCGGCTCGCCGGCGACGAAGGCGCGGCTCAGGGAGCGGCGCGGCGCCATCAGCCTGTCGACGGACCACCTCGACAAGGACCGCCGGCCCGTGAGCGACGCGCGGCGCCTGTCGAAGCGCGTCGCGCTGAGCCCGCCGACGTCCTACGTGCGGTCGAACCACCTGGCGCGCCAGTGCTGCCACCACCCGGCGGACTACAAGGCCTGCGCGCCGGCCGTGCGCTACAGGACGCGCGCCTACTCGTCCTGGGAGAAGCAGATCCTCCGCCACTCCGCGATCCCGACGGGCCTCCGCGACCCCGCGACGTTCGACGACGCGCGGCTGCTCATGCACATGCCGGACCCGGCCAAGGTCACGGAGCGCCTCGAGGAGCCGCCGTCGGAGGCGACCTTCGCGTCGCCCATCAAGGGCAACCGGCTCCGGGATTCGACGGGCATCATCGACCCGGAGACGGGCGAGCCCGCGGCGCGGTTCCACGGCGAGAGCTGCATGCCCGTCGGCGAGATCGTGCCCGTCGGACCGCGGCGGCGGCGCGGCGACGTCGCCCGCGGCGCGGGGGGGCTCCTGACGTCCGACGAGGTGGACTACGACGACCCCGCGAAAACGTTCGGCGCGTTCTCGTCGCTGAACCCGGCGAACCAGCCCAAGGGAGAGATGTTGACCCCGGGCGGCGGGCTCTACGGGGGGTTCGTCTAGGTGTGTGTGGTGTCTGCATTTGTCGGCGTCGAGCCGATGTTGAACCGGAGGGCTCGATTGTTGAACTATTCTCGCCGACTCGCAAGACTCGAGTATCTCGATCTGGGCGCCGTGACACCAGCTCCCCTAGTGGCTTTCCCCCCCCCTCCCCCCTGTCTGTCCGAGCGCTCAGGTAAACGAACGTAACGAGCGGGGGGGCTTAGAGGTCCTCGAGCTGGAGGTCCTCGAGCTGGGGCCGGGGCGCGGCGCGGACGGGGTCGCGGCGGCGGTCGTCGTCGCGGCGGGGCGCGCCGCCGAGGGGCTCGACCGCGTCGCGCTCGCGCGCGGACTCGCGGTCGGCCCTGGCCCGCTTCTTCTCCGCGATGAGGAGCTTGTACTTCTGCTGGTACTCGCGGATGGGCCGCTCGCCGCCGAGCTGGCGCTTCACCTCCTTCCAGACCGCGCCGTACCAGTCGCTCTGGCGCGTGGACCCGGCCTCGCGCGCGCGCTTGTACGCGTCGGCGACGACGACCTTGAGGCGCCGCACCTCCGCGTCCGTCCAGTGGAGGCCGCTCGGCGGCGTCCCCGGGTCCGGCGCGGGCGCGTCGTCGGCCGCGCGGCGCGGCGCGCGCGCGTCGTCGGGCGCCGCGCGCCGCGGCGGCGGCCCGTCGTCGGCGCGCGGCGCGTCCGCCTCGGGCCGCTCGGGGCCGTCGGGCCGCTCGGGGCCGTCGGGCCGCGGCGGCCGCGTGCGCCCGAAGGCCGGGCGGCCCATGCCGCGGCCGTTGACGCTCTCGCGGGCCCAGGCGTCGGGCGCGCGGATCGGCGCGTCCGGCGAGCCCGCGGCGCGGGCGTCCGGCGCGGGCGACACGGCCGCGGGCCGCTCCGGCGGCGCGCCGTCGTCGGGGCTCGCGGGCGCGGGCGACCGCCGGAAGCGGCGGCTGCCGGACCGCTCCTTGGGCGGCGACTCCGGCGGCGACCTGCGGCGAGCGAGGGTGAGACGCGACGTTCGAGGCTTTTCGTCGACGCGGCGAGGCGACTGCGTCTTCGCGAGGCCCTCGAGGGGCGCCGCGCGCGGCGACGCGGGCGACCGGCGGCGCCGCGGGTCGTCGGCGCCGCGGCGGTGGCTCCGCGCGCCGCCCGGCGACGGCAGGCTCGACGCCGCGGAGCTCGAGGACCTGTGTGCAAATCACATCTTCAACCCGACTTCAATGTGCGCGTATTCGAATCTTTCGACACAAGCTCTTTGGCTTTGCTTCGAGAACTCGACGAGAGCAATCGATTCGTCCAAAAATCAGCCGAATCGACTTCGATTTGACCGAGCTAGAGATTTCTGAAGTTTGGCCCCGACGTCCCAGCTCACTGGTTGATTTCCACACTGTCGAGGACTCGTCGAGGGACGGGCCGAGCAGCGCGGCGACGCGCGACGCGTCGTAGCCGCGGCCGCGGTCGCCGCTCCGGGGCGGGCTCGCGGCGGACTCGGGCGAGCTGAGGCCGTCGCGGAGCCGCGCGCGCGCGCGCGACGGGCTCGGGAGCTTGCCCGAGCCGCTGCCCGAGCTCGACGGCGGCGACGACCGCGCGGGCGCCGCGGGCGCCGCGGCGGCCGCGCCGAGGAAGCGCGGCGGCGACGGCCGGTTCGCCTTGCCGAGGCGCGGCGGGCTCGCGTCCCAGTCGCTGTCCGCGTTGCTCAGCGCGTCCTCGGGGTCGTCGAGCCAGGGCCGCGGCTCGTCGTCGGGGCTCGACCGCCGCGGCGGCGGCAGGCGGTGCCTCCCGCCGCGCGACGCGTCGCTCTCGTCCTCGAAGCCGTCGCTGTAGGACCCCGCCGCGTCCTCGACGGGCGTCGGCCGCCGCGGCGGCGAGTCGCCGCCGTCGCCGGCGAAGGCCGGCGGCCGGCCGTCCGGCGACGGCCGGCGGCGCAGGTCCGGCGGCGGCTTCGCGCGGCGCGGCGGCGGCGCGGCCTCGGGCCGGGCGTCGAAGGTCGCGAGGCGCGTCGCCGCCTTGTGCTCCGGCTCGCCGCGGCGGCCCGACGGCGGGTTCGGGACCTTGGCGTCGATGGGCGCGAACTCGAAGAGCTTCGGCGGGCTCCCGTCGTCGGGCGGCGGCATGAAGCCGCCGGCGAAGTTGTAGGAGAAGCGGCTCGACGGGTCGCAGCGCGCCTTGGCCGCGGCCCGCGGCGACGGCCGGCCCGCGGGCTCCTTGAGCGCCGGCGCCTTCGTCGGCGGCGGCGGGCTCGACGCCGCGGACCGCGCGGGCGCGGGCGCCTTCTCCGCGAGCGGCGGCGCGCGCTCGATGGGCGGCGCCACGGTGTCGGGCCGCGCCGCGTAGGCCGACTTGAGGAAGCCGTCGTCGAGCGCCGCCGCCGCGCCGGGCCGCGCCGCCGGGTTGAGCTGGAGGAGCCGCTCCGCGAAGTCCAGCGCGGGCCGCCACCGGTCGCCCCGCGGCGCGTCGAGCTTCGCGCCGAAGGCCGCCACGGCCCGCGCGAGCTTCGGCGGCTCGCGCCGCCGGCAGCTCTCCTCGCGGGGCTTGAGCCGCAGCTTCGTCGCGAGGCGGCAGCCCTCGGCCCAGCCGACGCTCCACGGGTTGCCCCGGAGGTGGAAGACGCGGTGCACGAGGTCGACCTCCGAGCTCGCCGGGAACAGGGGCCGCCCGCCGTTGACGAGCTCCGCCAGCACGGCCCCGGCGGCCCAGACGTCCGCGGGCGACGAGTAGACCGGCGACCGGAGCGCGTTCTCGGGCGCGCGGTACCTGGCGGTAGAAATCTTCAACCCGACGTCAATCATCGACCGTTTGCTTCGAGCGCCATCGACGCGTCCAAACATCGGCCGAATCGATGCCGCCGAGATCCGAAGTTCGGCCCCGACGTCCCGGCGGTCGGATGCCGCGCGGCGCGGCGCCACCGCGTCGACACGTAGTCCGTGTAGGGCGGCGCCGACCGCAGCTCCCGCGCGCAGCCGAGGTCCGCGAGCTTGACGGTGCGCGACGCGTCGCGGCACACGAGGCAGTTCTCGGGCTTGACGTCGCGGTGGAAGAAGCCCCGGCGGTGCATGTGCGCGAGGCCCGCGAGGACGTCGCGGAGCACGGACGCGGCGCGCCGCTCGTCGTCGTGGTACTCCGCCGGCGCCTCGCGCATGGCGTCGTAGAGGTTGCCGCCGTCGACGAACTCCATGACGATGAACACGGACCCGTCGGCCTTGGCGTGGATGACCTCCCTCAGCGCGACGACGTTGCGGTGCGCGCCGCCGCCCTTCTGGCACTTGTGGAGGGACGCGACCTCGCGCTGCTGCAGGCACTCGTTCCAGGACCGGAAGCGCCGCGTGATGTGCTTGATGGCCACGGTCTCGCCATTCTTCGTGGCCTTGACGACGCTCCCGAAGGCGCCCTGGCCCAGGAGCTTGATGATGCTGTAGCCGTAGCTCTCGCAGGCCGCCATCGTTCTTCGTCGCGGGGTGCGTGAACTTGGGGGGGCCCTTGTGCGACGCTCCCGGCCGGGCCCCGCTGCTAGCTTCGGGCCCGGACCATCGGTTTAATTTGAAGGCTGCCCGACGAGAGGAGGCGGACGCCGAAGATACGCCCTGCTCCACGAGGCTCAACATGGGCGTGAATGGCGTCGCGGCCGTCCGCGTCGATCGCGAGGAGGTTGTTGTCGGCTTCGTCGTCTGTCGCATCTCCCTGGCTCGCGGCCCCGGGCGCGCAGGAGATCCGCGGCGCCGCACCTGCATGCTCATGAACGAGCCACCGCTCCCCGAAGCCGTCGCCAACGCGGTTGTGGCAGACTCTTTGCCTCTCGGCGCCGGCGCGTCGCTCGGCGCCGGGGCGCCCCCACTCCTGTCGCCCTCAGCGCTCGTCTCCCAGCCCGGGCGCACGGTCCTCCCCGAGGGCACGAGCCTCGAGCAGGCTTCGGGCGTGGACCGCCTCCTCCGCACGTCGCCGAGCGATCCGATCCTGCCGGGCTTGGGCGAGCCGTCGCTCGGCGGCCCGAGCCTCGGGGGGCTCGGCGGGTTGGGCGGCGTCTCGCTCACGGGCGGCGTCCTCGGCGGCCTCGGCTCGCTCGCGCCGGCGCAGCCCGTCGCGTCGCCGGGCCTCAATCCGCTGGCCCAGTCGCAGTCGTTCCAGCAGCAGCTCAGCGGCTCGGATCCGGCGCTCTCGGCGCTCGGCGGCCTCGGCGCCGTCGGCCACAACGCGCCCTCGGCGGTCAATCTGCCTCCGGGCGTCACGGGCCACGGCGGCGGTCCGCGACCTGCGCCGAAATCTTCGCGGCTCCGACCAAACTTCAAAACTCCCGAGCTCGGTCGAATCGAAGTCGTTCTTGAACCCCCTCGGTGCACAGGCAACGGCATGAGCGGCCCCGGCTACGGCCCGACGCTGCTGAGCGTCGGCGTGCGCCAGCGCCTCGACGGCGGCGCCCTGCAAGCTTTGGCGGAGCTCGAGACGCCCGAGGCCGACGCCATCGCCGTGCGCCTCGAGCAGGCGGGCGCGTCGGTGCGCAATCCGAGCGCCTACGTGCACCGGGCCGTCAACAACGCGCGGCGGCGCGGCACGGTCACGCCCCGCGTGCAAATCAAATCTTCAACACGACTTCAATGCGCGCGTGTTCGATCGTTTCGACGCGAGCCGGCCCCGCAGGTCATGCCCAACGGCGGCGGCGGCGGCCACGCGCCGGCGCCCCACGGCGGCGGCCAGCCGAGCGCCCTCGACGCGAACGCGCTCACGGCGCTCCAGGAGCTGCCCGCGGCCGCCGCGGCCGCGATCCTCGACGAGCTCGCGTCCAAGGGCGCGGGCGG